GTACAGGCAGTCGTGGTCGAGGCAGAGTGGAAAGCTTGGGAATGTCCACCCAAAATCGAAGACACAGTTGCACTAAGAAAGTTCCGTGAACAGATAAAAGTTGAGCTAGGAGCGAAAGATGAAGATGGAAGAGTTCTTATTGGTCTACATGGTGGATGAGAAGGACCTTGGTGACTACCGACGAGGGCTCACGCTGATGGTGAAGTGCCTGTCAAGTGACTATATATTCGGCTACGACGGGGGCCTTATATATCTTTTCTGAAAAATGCAGTATTGCATTTCAGCAGATGTGAAGAGCGTGAATCGTCTGGCGAAATACTAAACTGGCGCCGTGGCAGTTTCCATCTTTAGACCTTGTTGTTTTGAGACTGCTACATCTATCTCGATTTTAGACGTTTTGACCTTTTGCTTTAGCTCAACTCTTAATCTATTACAGAGTTGTATTTATTTATCCTCAGTTTGTACAAAGTACATTACATATGATGATGTAATGACACATGTCAATAATGCGTATAATCATTTACAGATGTGTTTCTATTATACAACATGAAAATCTTATTATAAGTTATATACAAAATGGGGTTGTTGGTTTAAATTACCACATATATATATATATATATATATATATATATATATATAAATGAATGTATGTGTGTGTGTCTGTTTGTTTGTTTGTCCTTTATGCCTGACCAAACCACTCATTGAATCGCCATGAAACTTTGGGAAGTTATTTAGTATAGTACTGGGAAGGTTTCTAGCAAATAAAATTTTTGAAATAACTTTTCGCCTAGAAATAATCAAGATAAATATTCTAATTTATCTGTTATAATTCAACAATCTGCTCTAAATATTATGATGATGATGCGATGATTTTGTAATGTAGAAAATTAGGAAAGACAAAATTCAGGATGACACGGCAATTTATTTGAGACAAGAATAATGATACAATTCAAAGGCAAGATACTATTCCTTTAACTTCCAATTACCGAGGGAACCAATTAATATTGATTTTATTCAACTTATCGAGTATTTTTCAAGGGACCGGGAAAAAATGTTCACTTTATCGAGAGATTCGTTAAACAAACCTTTACTCGGGTAAAACCCGGGCGAAGCCGGGTACATCCATACAAGAATATTGATACAATTCCAAGTCAAGATACTATTCCTTTAACTTCCAATTACCGAGGGAACCAATTAATATTGATTTTATTCAACTTATCGAGTATTTTTCAAGGGACCGGGAAAAAAATGTTCACTTTATCGAGAGATTCGTTAGACAAACTTTTACTCGGGTAAAACCCGGGCGAAGCCAGGTACGTCCGCTAGTATATATATATATATCTCTATATATAGTGTAAAAACTATATAATAAAAATATAACAGTGATTCTACATTTAAAGCTTAAGGAGCAAGCTGATAAGAATGATAAATCATATCAAGTAGATTTGGTTAGATTAGCAAGCTAAATCTAAATTAATTATAAAAATAAATAGTTGTATAGTTTTATAGTTAAGTATTTTATTAAAATTATCTTCATTATTTTGATTATTTAAATTCAAATTATAAAATTTGTAAAATGTTATTATTTAGTATAGATAGAGAGAAAAAAATAATCCTTTACTTCTAAAACATCATCTAGTTAATTATATATTTATAATTAATAACAATAAAATTTAACAACGTAACGTCTTTTGTATCGGCTTTTACACGTCATTTAGACATACTCTAATCCTATATATAGAATAATAGAAGTGAGAATATATATGATAGTTAGAAAAAAGAGAGAAAGACAGAACCATGCACTTTTAATCAAACTAATAATAAGAAAACAAAAAGTTTTGTAAAGAAGGTAGATAAGATTGTTAGTATATATATATATTTTTTTATAATTTTATATTTTATCCTTTTTTTTTTAAATGATTTTTTAAATTTTTTTATTTTAAAATATGAATATAAATAGTTGTATTTAGTAATTTATCTATATTATTAATTAACTTTTGTTATAAGTTTGGTTATTATGTTTTGAAACCCTAATGGTAGACCAGACATATACAAAAAAAAATTAAAATTGGAGTAATTATTGAAAAAAGAGATCTGCTGAACCGGGAATTCTCAAATAGAAATTCAGCGGCGTTTCATCCCTTCTCTATTACGTCATAGATCTCTTTTCAACCGGATTTTATTTGTTAATATAAAGTTATTTCAGTGAAACATTTATATGAACAGATATAACAAATTCCATTAACAAGTTCCAACCGTGACCCACCTTGCCCGCGGCGTCTTCAACTGTAAACATCTATTTCTGGATGACACATGTTGTGGGGGGGGGGGACAAAATTAGACCTTTTGTTTTGAAGTTTTAGAACAAAAAGATATTCAAAGAAGAGAGAAAAGTTAGTTAATGGAAGAAAACCAAACTTTATAATCTTTACAGCTAGTTATATTAAAATAACTGATTCAACACTTATTCATCTTTCAATATTCCTTTAAAAAGGCAAATTATTAGAGTTTAATAAAGCTATTAAATGTGAAAATTCACTTTTATTTAATTTCCATTTTCCTCCCCAGAAATTGGAGATTAAACAAAATGAATTCTATACAATATTACTTTAAACATCTTGTGAAAAAATCTTCAAATCAGCTATTTAATTTAAGTTTAACTAATTGTTAAAGAATATAAATTTGTATTATTTATTATTGAGAGAAATTATAGAAAGTTGATTTAATAAATGGATATTTCCATTTATTTTTTTAAAAGTATTTTATAATAGATATACTGTTGAAATATTTTACTTGTCTGATACTAAATTTGTTTTTAATAAATTCCATGTTTAAATTTTTAACATCTTCTATGAAATTTTCTAATATATTATTTATTCTATAAAATCTTAGAAACTGTCCAAAGTATATACCTTTACAACAATTTAATGATATATTATAATTCATATTACAGTATTTTATAATATTGAAATTATAATTACTTTTTTTATTATAAATTTTAATAGCATTGTTTGTAAGGTCTATATTTAGGTCTAAAAAGTTAACTTTTTTGTTTCTATAAATTTTTTCATTGTTCTTAAGTTTCAAGTATTTAGGATAAATTTTAGGTATTAAGTTTTTGAACTGTGGATTATTAAATATTATAATGTCATCTACATAACGGAACATTTGCCAGTTAACATTATTTTGTAGAAAGTATTCTCTTTCGTACCAGAATAATATTAAATTTGCTAATAAAGGACTAGAAGATGTTCCCATGGGAACGCCTTCTGATTGAATATATATTTTATTTTTAAATTCTATATAGTTAAAATTTAAAAATGTTTCCAGTAGAGTTTTTGCTGTTTTAAGATCTAATTTAATTGTTTTATATCTGTAATGAATAATTTTAATGTGGAAAGTTTTGTCATTGATGATTTCGTTAAATAAATTGGTTATTTTATTATTTAGATCTCTTAAATTTATTTTAGAATATAGGTCCTCAAAGTCAAATGTGTGTACTGTTTCAATGTTTGTCCAATTGTTCATTAAATAGTTAATGATTTTTTTATTTGAGTCGATAAATTTATAATTATATTTATTAGTTAATTTATTTATAATAAATTGTAGTGTTGAAGCTAATTGTATATCAATGTTTTTTATAACTGAATTTATACCAGATGTGATTGTTCTGAAAGAAATAGGTTTTTTGTGTAGTTTAGGAATTATATAGAACTTTGGTATGTTTGGATTTTTGTAGTGATTATAAATTTTTAGTGAATTTTCAACGTTTTTGATGTCTTTTTTGATTTTTGTGGCTGTAGTTCTAGCAAAAGTGTATTTATGATTATTATCAATTTCCTTTTTTAGTATATCGTGGTATAGATTTTTACAAATTATAGATAAGTTATTGGAACATTTATCTATAGGAGTGATAATAAAGTCCTTCTGTAATTTAATTATATTTTCTTTAAAAGAAGGAATATCTGAATTAGGTTTTGTGTATTTAAGTGTATTATTATAATAATTTATAATTTCCTTTTTAATATTATGTTTCCATTCCAGAAAAGTAAATTCTGGAATACTGTATTTTATACTAGTTTTATTTATGAAAATATCTATATCTTTTAATATAGATTTAATTGTATTATTATAATTGTGTTTAATTTGAGGTATATATTTATACCCTTTATTTAAAATATCCTGATATTCTGGATTTAAAAAAGAAAAATTGCTAGTTAATATATGACCTGAGAACTTATATCTATCAATATAGTTGTTGCAATTACATTTAATTTTTTTAAAATTTGCTAAATTATCAATAAATTGGTTATAATTGCAAACTAAATTACCTATATTTTTGTTGTATCTCCAGATTGTTTTGAAATTTAAATTTTTTATAGGGAAAAGATTATTAATGTTTTGGTTATTAAAAATATCATTAAACTCAATATGATTAAATAAATTGTTATTAAATTTAATGATAATATTAATGTTATTAGTAGTCTCACTTCTATTATTCTATATATAGGATTAGAGTATGTCTAAATGACGTGTAAAAGCCGATACAAAAGACGTTACGTTGTTAAATTTTATTGTTATTAATTATAAATATATAATTAACTAGATGATGTTTTAGAAGTAAAGGATTTTTTTTTCTCTCTATCTATACTAAATAATAACATTTTACAAATTTTATAATTTGAATTTAAATAATCAAAATAATGAAGATAATTTTAATAAAATACTTAACTATAAAACTATACAACTATTTATTTTTATATCTCTATCTCTATATATAAGTCAATTTCTGTCTGTCTGTCTGTTTCGCGATAAACTCAAAAACTACTGAACCAATTGTTACAAAATTTTGCATGTCGCTTTTTATAAACCTGAGGAAAATTTTCGGCTGCATTTTGATTAGTATTTTTGGCTATTTCTTTTTTTTTTCATTTGAAGAACTATTTTTTACGCGGACTAATCCGGAATGGAATGAATACCTAAATTGGCCATTTTTATAAGCATCGGTGGTTCAGTGGTAGAATGCTCGCCTGCCATCCGGGCGGCCCGGGTTCAATTCCCGGCCGATGCATTTTTTTTTTTACAAATTTTAAAACTCATTTATAGTATATCTCTATATATATAAAAATGAATGTTTGTATGTTTGTCTGTCTGTATGTCCGGTATACAAATTCGCAGTAGTTCACTAATTCAAACCAAAATTTCCATACATAGGTAAAAAAAAATACGGGGAAGACGATAGGCTATTTTAAAAAATATATAAATCAATTATTAAAACTATATATTTTTAGTCAGAAAATGATGATGACGATATTGCTGTATCATATTTGATTATCAGATACAAAATTATATCGGGAAAAATTCCAAAAAGCAGGGACCACGGGTGAAACCAGTTCATTATTTTGTACGCAGGAACAAAATTCTAACAGAAAAACATTCATTCGAGCAGAAAACAAAAGCCAGATCATCTTTCTATAAAAATATCGCTTCTCAGACACAAAGTTTGGAGCGGGACGTTTCACAAAAGTGACATCCACGGTGCCAATTTATAATTGTAACTAATAGTATTTGAATAAAAACAATTAATCGGGTAAAACCCGGGCGTTGCCCGGGTCATTCGGCTAGTATATATATATATATCCTTCCTTCCTTCCTTATATATATAAAAATGAAATGCGAAATCGATGTTTGTTATCGCATCACACAAAATCTACTGACTCAATCATTATGGAATTTCGCATGTAGGTAGCTGAAGATTTCGTTTAACATATAAGCTATTCAAAAAACTACAAAGGTTAATGTACTATTTTTAAAAATATTTAACTGAAAAAAAAATATATGGATTAGTTCCCGCCTTTTGCCGCTTGGCGCCGCACTGGTCGCGACGAATTTGATTGGTTAATAATTTTACACTTATTTTGTTTGTTTACACGCTGCATTATTCAAAAGATAAGATTATATATATTTATTTAAACTCTTTGGAAATATTATTGTTTAGAAATATTTTTCTAATTTAATTGCCACTACGTTTTTTTAGATAAGGTATACTGTTTGATTCTCATAAGGAATATTCATTTTATATTATATATTCATATAATCATTTACGATTTAGATTATTGTTTAGAAATATTTTCTAATTTATAATTATGTTTTTTTTCTGTATAGATTGCTACATATATTTTACTATATATGTTTGTTCCATGCAATAGTTTTATACTTATTAGCATTTATATTGTAAGCAGCTTCTATGCATTTTTAATAACTGCTTTTTTTTAGGGGTAGGCTCAATTTATTGGGCAGTTTTTTCAAACAAATTAGACAAAGGTATACTATTTGATTCTCATAAGGAATATTCATAATATATTATAAAATCATATAATCATTTACGATTTAGATTATTGTTTAGAAATATTTTTCTAATTTCATAATTTTGTTTTTTCTATATAGCTTGCTACGTATATTTTACTATATATGTTTGTTCCATGCAATAGTTTTATACTTCTTAGCATTTATATTGTAAGCAGCTTCTATGCATTTTTAATAACTGCTTTTTTTTAGGGGTAGGCTCAATTTATGGGGCAGTTTTTTCAAACAAATTAGACAAAGGTATACTGTTTGATTCTCATAAGGAATATTCATAATATATTATAAAATCATATAATCATTTGCGATTTAGATTATTGTTTAGAAATATTTTTCTAATTTCATAATTATGTTTTTTTCTATATAGCTTGCTACGTATATTTTACTATATATGTTTGTTCCATGCAATAGTTTTATACTTATTAGCATTTATATTGTAAGCAGCTTCTATGCATTTTTAATAACTGCTTTTTTTAGGGGTAGGCTCAATTTATTGGGCAGTTTTTTCAACCAAATTAGACTTTTTTTTAGGCCTTCTTCCATTGTCTTTTTTTTTTGTTTTGCTGTCATTTGTTTAGGTAGTATTTATATTTATCTGCTTCATAATATGTAGCTGCTCATATATATCTATATAGGCTCAATTTATTGGGCAGTTTTTACAACCAAATTTGACATTTTTTTTAGGCCTTCTTCCATTGTCTTTTTTTTTTGTTTTGCTGTCAATTGTTTAGGTAGTATTTATATTTATCTGCTTCATAATATATGTAGCTGCTCATATATATCTATATATGTTCTACTCATATTTATTGTGCATATTTTTTCAGCAAATTATACTTTTTTTTTACGTCTTCTTCCATTTGATTTTTTTTTAATCAGTTGTTTTACGTTTTCACTGAGTTTTATGCATTTTCCCCTCCTCTCAGATTATTTCTATGCATTTTTTTATTTTGGCCTTAGTCATGAGTCGAGCTTATTTTAATACACTATTTTTGAATTTTTTTCTTCATTCTCAGCCCTTGATGTTTTACATTTTTCAGTAATCCTTATTTTTATTTTTACTGATGCTTTGTGTTTGTAGGTATGCCAAGCCATAGGAGACGCAATCTTTCTCAGCGTTCCAATAGCTCTAGGGTTCAGCATGCTTACAGACTGCGCGAAACCAGAGGACAGAATATTCGAAGATTGCGTGCACAGTCCGCGCGTCAAGCCGCTGTGCGGTCGTTAGAGACACCTGATCCCATCCATTCTCGCTTACAGCAGTGTTGGGCATTAAAAAATTATTTTTCAATTAAATTGAAGTGCAATTAACAATTAATTAATTATTAATTAGAAAAGTGCAATTAACAATTAATTGTAAAAATACAATTAACAATTGATTAATTGTTAATTGTGAAAATTACAATTAACAATTAATCAATTGTTAATCTTTAATAAATCATTTTAATTAATATTTGCCCAACACTGCCTGAGATAAAAAGTGTTTTTATTAAATACAACACACCTTTACCATCGTCAGCTGAAGTTGAATGCATTTTTTCTTTTGCGACAATGACAAATCTGCCAAAGAGTCACAAATTGTCGGACAGCATGTTCGAGAAGAGAGTGGTACTGAAATGCAGTGTTGGGCATTAAAAAATATTTTTCAATTAAATTGTAGTGCAATTAACAATTAATTAATTGTTAATTAGAAAAGTGCAATTAACAATTAATTAATTGTTAATTGTATGAATACAATTAACAATTATTTATTTGTTAATTGTAAAAATACAATTAACGACAATGAATTAACGACAAAAAACGACAATTTGCGACAATGACAAATCTGCCAAAGAGTCACAAATTGTCGGACAGCATGTTCGAGAAGAGAGTGGTACTGAAATGCAGTGTTGGGCATTAAAAAAATATTTTTCAATTAAATTGTAGTGCAATTAACAATTGATTAATTGTTAATTGTGAAAATTGCAATTAACAATTAATCAATTGTTAATCTTTAATAAATCATTTTAATTAATATTTGTCCAACACTGGCTTACAGGCGCATTCAGAAATATATTCTTCTACTCGGAGGAATACTAGAACAAATAATTTTTTCAGCAGCGTTTGGTCTTCTATGGAAAATGCAGGTTTTAATTATTCGGTTGCTGTTGAATACTTTAAGCACCCTTTAATTTCCCTTGGGATGATGGACACTACATGCAGGTTTTGTTAGGGCCTTAAGATGGAAAGATGAGTCTTCTGTAATGTGCTGTTCAAACGGGAAAGTCCGTTTGCCATTAATTGACTTACCTCCCGAGCCACTTCGCAGCCTATTATCGGGAGAGAATTCTGATTCAGTCCATTTTTTGCGTAATATTAGCAAATATAATTCCTGCTTTCAAATGACATCATTTGGAGCTGAAAACCAAACCCACTCTGTTACTTTTCCAAACACATTTTCTATCCAAGGCCAGGTCTACCACAGAATAGGTTCACTTATGCCATCTGAGAACCAACCAAGTAGATTTCTTCAGATCTATTTTGTGGGCAATGATGATGATGATGATATTCAGACTGATCGAAGATGCCAGCAAATACAGGGAGTACGTCGTAATATTGTACAGGGTTTGCAGCGCATGTTGCACCAACACAATCTACTGGTTCAACAGTTTAAAACTGTACTTGAAAATCTCCCCAGTGATGCATACAGAGTTGTTGTAAATGCTGATCGGACACCTCCTGGTCAACATCCTAGACGGTATAATGCTCCTACAGCTAATGAGGTTGCGGTTGTCTTAGCTGGTAATCAGTTTGGCTCACGTGACATTGTTTTACATCAGCGAGATAATTTGCTGAAACATGTTAGCGACACACATCGCTTTTATGATGCCCTTCAATATCCTTTAATTTTCTGGAAAGGCCAAGAAGGATATTCTTTTCATATACCTCAGATCGACCCAAACACTAGACAGCCTTTGTCAAGTAAAGTGTCTTCTATGGATTTTTATGGCTATTTTATTATGGTTCGCCGAAATAGTCCAAATGTCATTGTTCAATTTGGCCAGCTCTTTCATCAATTCCTGGTCGATATGTATGCTAAGGTAGAAAGTGAACGTTTGCGCTATATTACGCTGCACCAGAGAAACTTGCGTGCAGAGAGGTGTCCGATCAGCATTTACAACAACTCTGTATGCATCACTGGGGAGATTTTCAAGTACAGTTTTAAACTGTTGAACCAGTAGATTGTGTTGGTGCAACATGCGCTGCAAACCCTGTACAATATTACGACGTACTCCCTGTATTTGCTGGCATCTTCGATCAGTCTGAATATCATCATCATCATCATTGCCCACATTCATTTGCGCGATGCCCTGTCAACTGATGCAAATATTAACCCTAATAGCTTGGGTCAAAGGATCATTTTACCATCAAGTTTTGTCAATAGTCCCAGGTATTTGGCAGAATAAACGCAGGATGCTTTTTGTTATGTTCGGAAATTTGGGCGTCCAGATCTTTTTATTACTTTTACAAGTAACCCCTCTTGGGAAGAGCTATCTGCAGCGTTGCTACCAGGACAAAAACAGCTGGATAGACATGATATCACGGCTCGGGTTTTTCGGCAAAAATTAGTTAAATATATTGGGGCTCTAACAAAAGGCCAATTGTATGGAGCAACAGTTGCGTGGATGTATTCTGTTGAATGGCAGAAAAGGGGACTCTCTCATGCTCACA